AATCATTATGACGAATGATCCAACTTAGATACATGTAAGACAGGTGTCCAGGGAGATTGATGTCTTCTGTTTCACCGAACGACATTAGCGATGTAAATCTTGGTCAATTAAAATTTTGTACAAAGTTTCTAACTTGTCCTTGGTGACAATGTTGGCATCCATGAAACAAGTTTACCGTCTTCAGTAAAAGTATATTTTTCCGTACAAAAGAGACTGTGTTACAGACTGCTAGGAATGTTGACAGGAAATTCCGGATCTCAATGGAGAGTACAATGTGATAATGGCTCATATCAAAGAGCAGAGCACAAGGCACAGTGTAAGTCAGTCGTTTCTATAGGGATGAAGGTCATTGGAATCTGTAGGGAGACAAGTGTCTTTTCTTAGCGATAGCGGCTCAATTTTGGTAGAGTGGATTTGCTGAACTACGATTGTTTGTGAATCAATAGGGTTATACTAGGAACACCCCATTTTTCATACTTAACAAAGGGTTTTGTTTCTTCTAAACACCAACAGTTTAAAAGGAAAGACGGTTATTTAGTACATCTGATTATTCTCTCAAATATGTGGTCAACAAGCAGTGATAAGGTCGGTCGTAGGCATAAAAGGCCCATGCATTCTACTGGTGTGTTTACAAATATCGGGATATTTTCAATAAAGGGTGTTTATCCACCAATGTCAAAGTAAGTCACCAGTACCGATGCGACACCGGTCACGAAGTGCTTCGACAGCTAAGAAATGACAGTGAAGAAATGTAGATAAAGGGTATTTATCAACAGGATCGAATTGTGGATCATTTTACAGTTTGTTGACGTATGCAAACAAATGTTTTGAATATTCATAGTAATTTTGGTCGCTTGTATAATAAATTATACAAGAATTGTCCATATCGAAAGCCATCCATGTACAGATACTTCGTCACAACCAGGGTCGCTTATTGGATAATCGATTAACGTAGAAAGGGTTATATAGTAATGTTAAATGTTGTTGCTTGTCATTATGGAGAGTAATAAGTATGCTTATTGATAATATCAGTTTTTAATCAAAAGACCAGTTCGTCAAAGTACACTAAAAACAACATGTTTGTAACCTCAAATGATATAATATACTGAAAAATTGTCTCAGCACCCCTTGATCTAACCACACTACATTACCAATGTATGTATGTTTAAACAACCTGAATCAAACCTTACTTTTCCTGTCTGGCACACACTATTACATCTGAATCATGTTGCTGTTAATTGTCCGTTGTGATGCCTACAAATTACCTACTTAGTTCCACTGATCAGAACAGATCATTGCCACAGAACAATAGTATTGTCGTTGTTACAGAGACCAATGGACACGGACCTAGCTTCGTAGATAGAACGAGACCTGCGTTTGAAGGAGTCATTGACATTTCCCTGAAGAATAATCATGCCGTTCATAAGGGTCAAACGTTATCAACAATTGGTTCAAAATTTGTTGCTGGCCAAGGACACGGATCCACTCCGGTCGTAAAGGACTTATGGAGCGGATACTAAAAGGGTCGTAACTGTCTTTTGAAATAAAGCTTTCTTAGAATGGTGACACGAGCAATTGTATAAAAAGCTACTAGTGTGTGTGTACGTAACAATGGTCTCCGGGGCTGTTTGAGAAATACTCGACACCAGAAAAGTTGACTATTGATAGAAATATAGGTTCAATTGTTACATTTACTGCCTTCAAACGAAGACTGTGCTTGTCACAATATCATGTTATGTACAGTGTGTATGGTTTAAAGATAAATATCAGGAACTCTCTGCATTCGTGTTTATGATTTTGAAATATATTTGTACATGTACCAAAAAGGCATGCATTGCAAAAAATAATGTATCACAGTTAGTGTTTTAACTTTTACTGGACTGCCGTTGTATTGGAAATGCATTGATCAATATTCGTTTTCCATATCTCTTTAGTTACTCACACGAAACTCTGTTTTCTGCTATTGCGAAAATTGATTTGAACACTTTGATAATTTTCATTTGTCTACAAAGAGTGTATCGCGCAAGTACATATGGACATACCTAGAACTCTTGTTTTACAAATTCCATTTTTCTTGAAATAAAAGCGAAGCATTATCGAAATAATCGGGCGATATATATCTGGTATGTTCGGAGGTAGACATAAAATTTTATTCAATTATATATGCATACATCTATATAGATATATATCAAGTTGTCATATACATATACCACGGGAGCGGTAATGTCGGTCATTTCCCACCAGTATCTATACACGAAGAAATGTACGTATCTTTATAATTGCTGAATAATGTAGATATATGTCCTATTAGTTTAGCATGTATATTACTTGACCGATACAATCAACTATTGATTTGTCCGTGTTGCTTTGAAAATACACCAGCGAGCGGACAATATACAGTTAATGACGGAATGGTGTTAGAACAATAGGTTACAGATGCACTTCCAACCAGGTTGGTACAATGCCCTCTATCACACTAATTCTGACCGCTCGACATGATTGGTGACTTTGGAATCAAGGTCAAGTGCGAAATTCTCTATAGCACTGACAGTGCTGATGTTGAGGTTAAAGCGTTCAAAAAACCACGTGACCAGGTAAATATAAACTTTATTTATTCTACAACAACTGCAAAACAAGTTCCATGAACAAGTACTAACATACACGTACATTACTTTTGTTTGCCCAAAAAGAAGTACATGACTTGTGTAAATGTGGAAGGGAACCGGCAAAAGCCTTGGTCGCCAGGGTGAAAGGCGACTGCAATGCTACAGCACCACCCGACCATCCAAATAGATATTCAGTTATTATATTCAGTTATTAACGAAGTGTCGTTCAGCAAGACTTATCATGGTAATCAAAATGACCTAGAGGGTAAAGTGGTCTTTACTTCGAGATTGCAGGTAGGATACACTGTTGCTAGACTTTTATTCCACGAGGTTTGCCGTAATGTCACGTGTTAATGTATTCGTATAGTGGCACGGATTAGAATATGCAAGAGTACATCACGTTCATTTAAAGTTACGCTATATTGACATTTAAGAATTTAATGAATATTGCGCTTTCTTTCCAGCAATTCTGATTTTTCCCAATCGCTTTCTAGGTTTCAGGATTTAGGCCTTTAACATGACTGAAGAGTCCTAGAAGGACGAAACAACTGTATGATGTAGCATCACTGACGAGTCCTAGAAGGACGAAACAACTGTATGATGTAGCATCACTAACGAGTCCTAGAAGCACGAAATAACTGTATGAAGTAGCATCATTCACGAGTCCTAGAAGGACGAAACAGTTTAATTCATTATCATGTTATACACTATACTGTACCCATATCCTGTAATTTAAATTTCTTTGAAAGGTGCTAATCACTTGCGTCTTTTTTACAATCTTTGAATTTATGAGCCATTATGAACTGAAACTATACTTTTTGTAGGCGATATCTGTAGATTTATATATTTGAGAATAATTTCGCTTATTACCATACGTACATTCTTCGAGGAAATAAAGGTCTTGTCAGTCACTTTTGTGTACTAAAAACAAATAAGATATTGATCGTGTGAGATCATCTAATCGAGGTTATTAATCCGAAAAATCTAATCAAGATGAAATAAAAGAAAAAAAAAGATTATTTCTATAATCAGCCGCTAACGCCGACAATAACAATTTTATGTGTTAGCGATATCCTCAAACTACGGGGTTACCTGACCCATATAACTATAAATCTAAAAAAGAAAGCCTCCGGGATAAACATGGTGCTTCTACCTTTGATTGGTTTTAAAGTGTCATTGACAAGAATAGGGAACATTTTAAAAAAGAAAAAAAAAAAAAAAAAAGAAAATCGATATTTATAACCACGTCTGATGTGTGATTGGTTTACAGTTGTAGTCAAGCCATATACATTGTGATTACATGACACATGAAAATAGCGATAACAGAAAAGGTTATGTCAATCAACATACATTCGTAGACATTTTTCCTGAGAATAATAAGGATATGCGTCCATACACATACACGATTTTAATACATATGCAACCTGCTGTCTTGTCAGTGTCCTTATGACATTTCCATGTCTTATCAGTTGATGTTTATACCCAGTCGCCCCTTTTTTAGGTGGTACATAACCTTTTTATACTTGTAAATCGTTTTATTGGAAACTAAACTGCCATTACACATGGCACCATGACCTAATTAACCCTGGCTGATGGAATATAATTGTTTTTGCTGGTCGGCCATTGTTGGAAATGGTACACTGAGAATTGACAGGTTTCGAACATTCTGTTCTATGTTAACAGGCTAACCATGCTTTAGTATCACAGTCATTTAGATTGCCTATTCATGTTAAGGATGCAGACCTCCCCCGTTTATATTGGATTCCTTCACTTCACAAGAATTTATACAGACAACGTTATATTCCTGATTCGTCTAGCAGTTTGTTAAAACTTTTGTACTAACTATCATTCTTATCACAATCAAATCTGGATTACAGTCTTATTGTAATACTATTCACTTCAGAAGTTGAATTAATAGTATGTGGATTTTAAACAACTCCAAAGAGATGTTGACCAATCTTCAACACCTTCTTCATAATTTTACTTCCATAAGAACATTTGATTTTTCACTCTGTACACCACCATATCCTTATTAAGAAATTTTCTTTTGTTTGTTTTTTTTTTTTTTTTTTTTAATTTTTCGGGGTACACTATGTATGTCGAAAAATGGCAGAAATGCCAGTAACTAGTGATGAACATGTATTCCTTTCTTTTTCGAAAATCTAATAGCAGTGAAAGTTTTGACGAATTTGACATTTTTAATAAAATGTTAGAAGGAAGAGTTTTCCATTCAAAGTAATCTTGATGACGTAATTAGTAGCCTTACAATCCAATGTGTTACTGCTTGAAAAAAAAAGATCAAAACCATAACTCGTCTTTATGTGACGCAGATTGCCCGGATTGATTTAATGTTTGACCAGGATGATAAAGCTGTACAAATGCAATTACGTTTACCTGACAGAAGCGGCGGGGACGACAGTGCCATTCTCCACGAGGATGTTGGATGCCTTGTGCTCCGATACGATCTGTTCGTAGGTGGACGACTTCCGGCGCTGTCTGTAGCACCTCCTCCATGTAATATACATGACGAGGGACAACACGAAGGCACTGCACACGGCCCCAACAATGACAACTGTCAACGGCACTGCAATGATAAATATAAAGATTACATGACAACATTTTATTATAAATTACAAATGGGTTGATTTTAATACTCTTTTCAAGATCTGTAAGAAAAAGTTCTTTTTTATTATAGTATATATATACAAACATATTGCCCCCCCCCCCAGATCGCCTGCTAAGCTTCGTATTGAGTATTTCAAATATTTTGTTTTTGAAGAACTTTGAGTCACATCTATTTAGGACTATGAATGTCGTTTTGATATAGGTTTGATGAATAAAATAAAAAAAAGTTCCTCATCCTCATAACGTTTTATATGCATAACTTAAAATGTTTCCAGAACGATGCACCTTCATTCTCTCTCATCACCTCTTCAAGGATTTTTTTTTATGAAACTCAGCATGTACCCTTCCGGAACAACTGGTCTTATTATCCTTGTAATTTTTCAGTAGCATGTGTGTGAATCGTTCTTCCGTCCATATTTTGCTCGGGTTTCAGCTAATTTGTATTTGAATATAAACTCTATGGACACTTTCGTTTTTTCTTTGTTTATTTTTTTTTATATCAAAATCATCATTCAGTCTACAGCGTTTTCACTGATGGTTTAACTTGAATATATATTGATATCGTCACTGTTTGTTGTGACCCTACACGAGTAACAATAGTAAGTGCCGTTGCAGTTGTCAGATTTCCATCTCTCCTGGTGAGAGAGAAGGGTGTGGTGTAATGATTAATCGTAAGTCTGACCAAATATCGTGTGGATAGCAACGAAAAATTATAACGTTTGATCAGAGACATATATCACCTTGGTGTTATAAACATGTGAAGTCGTACTTAGTGACGTCAAGTAAAGGACGCAATAAACTCTAACCAAACAATTTATTACAAATAGCTTATCATTAGGTCACAACCTGAAATAACAACAGGTCTTGGTTATGATTTCTTTGAGTTGAAAAAGAAAGCTTTGTGTGCATGAAGTTGTCTCCAATATATTTTTTATACGAACATACATATAGAGGACCTACATCCGCTTTAAACGAACCAAGTTGGAAAAATTCGTTTACTTAACGATAAGTTGAGCTTTGCTAATTTATATATTCCAATTTAAATTTTAATTTTAATTTCCCAGTCATATATATATGATTACTTCTGTCTGGTAGTTCAATATATATATTTCAGCAGAGAAAAGAAAATATGCACATAACAAAATTAAATAATCAAAATCTAATCTTCTGATAAGATGTTTGGTCGCAGCATGATAAAGGGATATATCACCGACAGAAACAGATAGCAAGGAAAACTTAGATAGACCCTCTGTTGAGGATAGTAGATAGTTTAATGGTTTAATGTACATCAGTTGTCACCTACATATTTATTTTGATTAACGTATATTTTTCAATATAATATTTTCACAATTATAAATTATTACAGGAATACATCTCTATACATAGGATGACGTATGAAGTTTGATGTTGCACATTTTCAGTTCCAGATACTGCACCGATCACCAAATAAAGCCGTTTCATTGGTAATTCCATACATTGTTTCCAGGTTTTTAACATCGATGTCAAAAGTCAACGATGTTTAGTGTAGGATGGTACAGACAATAATTTCCCGTTTTATGCAGATAACCTAAGACAATTATTTGTTACATAACCAGATGACAAGTGCTCGTGAAAACGTTCCTTATCAACAAGTTACAAAGAAACGTCATACATAAAAATCAAACGATGGGTTATCAATATAATTGTTGAAACGTTGTCACTGATTAAATGGTGTTCTATATCTAACCGTTGGCGCCAGACGATTTTTTGAAAATAATCAAGTATTTGATTAAAATCCTTTCAACGAAGAATATCAGGAGCGACTTAACACCTATAAAAGACACGGTTGTTTTGACACGCTAATGTCGGCCTTGATATGTGTTAAAACTCTACAGATGGCCTTTGAGAGCAGGAAATAGTCAACATTTGGAACAACTTTTAATTTTGTATTTGACCAGATAAAAATCATGTGTTCACATGCCGTCATGTCCTTTATCTGGTGAACATGTGATACAGACTGTTCACCAACCGACATGTCCTTTATCTGGTGAACACGTGATACAGACTGGTCACCAACCGACATGTCCTTTATCTGGTGAACACGTGATACAGACTGTTCACCAACCGACATGTCCTTTATCTGGTGAACACGTGATACAGACTGGTCACCAACCGACATGTCCTTTATCTGGTGAACACGTGGTACAGACCGTTTGCCAACCGACATGTCCTTTATCTGGTGAACACGTGATACAGACTGTTCACCAGTCGATATGTCCTTTATCTGGTGAACACGTGGTACAGACCGTTTGCCAACCGACATGTCCTTTATCTGGTGAATACGTGGTACAGACCGTTTGCCAACCGACATGTCCCATTTCTGGTGAACACGTGATACAGACTGTTCACCAACCGACATGTCCTTTATCTGGTGAACACGTGATACAGACTGTTCATCAACCGACATGTCCTTTATCTGGTGAACACGTGATACAGACTGTTCACCAACCGACATGTCCTTTATCTGGTGAACACGTGATACAACTGGTCACCAACCGACATGTCCTTTATCTGGTGAACACGTGATACAGACTGGTCACCAGCCGATATGTCCTTTATTTGGTGAAAATGTGATACAGACTGGTCACCAACCGACATATCCTTTATCTGGTGAACGCGTGATACAGACTGTTCACCAACCGATATGTCCTTTATCTGGTGAACATGAGATACAGACTGGTCACCAACCGATATGTCTTGTATCTGGTGAACATGTGATACAGGATGCATTCCAGCCTACAAGCCTTGTTTCTGATGATAAGTAAAGTATACATGTTTAATTGTCACGTTGACCGACAGTATCTTTGTTGAAAGTGAGATTTTGACGTGTCTAGCTCTGAAACAAATCGTTCAATCCTGCTTCGATGTAATTTGAAAGGGTACTCGGTATGAACGGAGCGTTTAACATCGGGCAGAGTTGCTTTCAGATTTGTAAATGTTAACGTCATGGTTCTGAATGATAAACGTCCGAATCACTCACACGCTTTATTCCATGTCTTTGCCTTTGCCTTTGATTGCCTTTGTGGAGTTACAACCAATCTCTTAGATTCAGTCCCTTTAATCTTTCTCTTTGGTATCTTGTACCGCTAGTAGATCGATTTGGGCAGTATGAAGACGTTACATAATACAGTATGCTGCTCTGCTCCTAGAGATATTTAGCGACGATAGAGACAAGCGGTCTCGGCACCAGGAGAATAGATCTTGGATGGCGGATGTCGTCTTTCATTTCCCGACTTTACAAAGCGTGTTAACACTGATACGACAGATAAACAAAACAAGCACGCCTCACTAATCTTGATCGTTTATGAGCTAGCTTCACGTTCATTTCAATTACAGAGATTTGTCAAAAGACTGTATTTGATAAACAGATGCTGAAGGTCGTGAAACAAATAATCTGCTGCGTCATCTCTGTAGAAGGCGTTGGCCATATAAGGTCATATTGCAAAGACACATTGCATGTTTATAGTTAATATTACGTAATTACAACCATTGAGGAGCCTATGTTGACGGAGTAGTTATCTCCTAATTGTTGTATAAATCGACTAACCATTTCCATGTCATTGTGCCGTATCCCTCTACTTTCCATTTCCATGTAATTGTGTCGTATTCCTCTACTGTCCATTTCCATGTAATTGTGTCGTATCCCTCTACTTTCCATTTTCATGTCATTGTGCCGTATCCCTCTACTTTCCGATTTCATGTGATGTTGTCGTATTTCTCTACTTTCCATTTCCATGTCATTGTGTCTTATTCCTCTACTTTCCATTTCCATGTCATTGTTCCCTATCCCTCTACTTTCCATTTTCATGTCATTGTGTCATATTCCTCTACTATTTATTTTCATTTCGCTTTAATTATCCTATTAAGCTACTATCAATTTTCCTTTCATTTCATTTCAATTGTCGTATTCCTAACATTCCATTTTCAGTTCAGTTTAATTGCAGTATTCATCTGCTATTAATTGTTCATTTCATTTTTGCATATATCTCTACTATTCTACTTTCAATTTTCATTCATTTGGAAGTCATATTTCTCTATCTACATGTATATATAGAAAGTTGTATTCCGCTGTCCTCCATTACAATTTAATTACAGTGATATGGCCGCTAAGCGCACCAGACAAACACAACGTGCATAGCCATGCGTAAACAAACACGTTTTCATTCGTCTGCCGTGCGCTCAACTGTGATAAAAAAATCTGTATGATTGTTATCAAAGAGTAGCCACCGTAGCTTGCTTCTTTGAACATTCGGAAAGCGTTTCAAGGCGAGCAGTTCAGAATATTAAAACAAACAAAAATCATTATAGTTAAAATGACAAAATGAAAAGTATGACAGACAGACTTTATCTTATAATATAGTGGGAGGGTCGAAAGATAGAACAGTTTGACATAAATCGATAAAATGTGACCCTCCTGTAGAGAGGTAACTGAGAATAGATATTCTGGAACCCTATTAGATGACGATTCATAAGAAATTAGTACACATGGACTCTGTTATAGGTACATGTAATTTCATTGGGAATTGATAGACTGGGACCCGATCATAGAAAGATTCAACGGGAACCAACAGACTGGGACCCGATCATAGAAAGGTTCAACTGGAACCAATAGACTGGGACCCGATCATAGAAAGATTCAACGGGCCCAATAGACTGGGACCTTATCACAGAAAGGTTCAACGGGCCCAATAGACTGGGACCCGATCATAGAAAGATTCAACGGGCCCAATAGACTGGGACCCGATCATAGAAAGGTTCCACGGGCCCAATAGACTGGGACCCGATCATAGAAAGGTTCAACGGGCCCAATAGACTTGGACCTGATCATAGAAAACTTCAACGGGCCCAATAGACTGGGACCCGATCATAGAAAGATTCAACGGGCCCAATAGCCTGGGACCCGATCATGATATTGATACA